AAATGTTTTTTTTTAATCTCGCCCAAGAAAAGGGTTGGAAAATGTGAAACGCAGAAAGGATTTCTCTGTACTAAGAATGTGCATACGTTTAATTTATTTCGCACGCTTGACTTCGTAAAGAAGAGGATTTATGGAAAAATCTAGTTTTTGCTCAAACATTTATACTTAAAAAGGATGTGGTTTGGATTTTCCAAGCTAGAAAGAACCACTTGAATAAAATAGTCTTCTTTTTTAAAAGACAGATTCGTTGTTTGTAATATACAAATTATTTTGAAAAATAAAATTGTTAATTTTATTTAATTTATAATTATAATATTATAGAGAGATTCGCGCAATAAAAATATTTTCTACTTACAATTTCAAAATTTATTTTTCTCAAGTCGACAATTTTATTTATATTTATTAGCTCTTGTAGATCGATAGTCGTATTTACAGACTGAATGATAAGATATTAAAAATTTAAACATCAAAATGTTTTATATATATGCGCATAAATTTAATTTTAATTCCTTTAATTTCCATATAACATAAGGATTTATATTAAATGTGCAATTTATTTCCGAATGTGTTCTACTGTCGCCTTCGTCCTAGATTCTTTTTTGTGGAGAAGAGAAATGTCTCAGGCGAATCCCTAGATCACGCCAGCCCTCCTAAACTGTCATTCCATTGGCCGCTTTCAAGCCATTTCCTCGTTTTTGCACATTAAGGACTACAACGTGTGAGAAAAAGAAAACGCGAAAAAGAGAACAGATAGGGATGGAGAAAGATTATGTCCGCACGATTCATTCAGTCATATGATTTATTATAACCACATGTTTCGTTTATATATACATTACGATTAATCGTAATCTTGTAATTAATAAGGGAAATCATAAGGTTTAGCGGGAGTTAATATTGCAATCGTTCACGAGTTGATTTTTCGAAAGAAAATAAAACGAGTAGTAAGTCACTATATCTCCGTGCCATTTTACAGAATCCCCTGAGATATTTTATCTCATTCTTTCGTATACGCAGCGATTTAAGGGTGAAATTGCACCAAGAATATGTGGCAATCCTTCCATACAGAATTCAAACAAAGAATTCGTTCTCAAATTTTATCAGGATCGAAGCGAATTTGTCGAATTTTAACATTCTTCTAGTCAAATTTAATGACTTTAATTAATTTGTAATTCATAGTGGAAATCTTTACACGTACAAAACTTTTACAAGAAATTTCAAATAACATCGATTAGCACTATTTTAATTGGGCATCGAGTTATTGATTGATTATTATAATGTGTATTTTTGAAACAAATGCATCTTGTATAGAAATTCGTTCAAAAATATTTCCAAAAGTTAATATAATTACAAAAAAGATTTATAATATATTTTGATATTTTATTTTACCTCTATCAAGTTTCATAATAATTGTCAGATTATAATTGTCGGTTTCATGATATATTTCGGAATTAGAATATATATGAATTTCGTTACTGCGAGCAATACTACGCATAATTAATTTACATTTCATATTTTTATTATCAAATTATGATGATTACGTGTGTAACATATTTGTTCATTTAGCAAGGTTGTAACGTGACAAAGATCGTGACGTTACTCGGATAAATCCCACACGTGTCGCGCTAAATAGGCTATTAACGATTAATGGATATATCCTTTAGACAGTGCGCCATTTTAATGGAATTGCGCGACATTAATTAATATTCTATTCCGGCTAAAATCTGTTCCTCCGAAGGCGGCTCGTACCTATCAGCAAAATTGTATTTAGCATCTATTAGCGATGCCCTGCAGCATCGTACTCACAGCCATGCACTCGATACTCGCATATCTGCATTAAAACGGTAAAAAGAGAGACCAGTACATGCGAAGAGTAACAAAGGATCGTGGACGCGCAGAAAATGTAGTTACTAACTTTACAGGAGAAGCGATAATGTGCTCTCGACGTATTGCAGTAAATTAAAT